CTGAATATCGAGAAAACACTTCATACAGTGATTATTGGACCTTTAAAGAGTATTCTTAGGAAGTTTCAGCTGAATCCAAGTTTGAGCGATTTTCGTCGTAGTAGCACTTTAAGTACACTTTTTTTATATACTCTAAGTTTTATTCATAAAATCTTGGCAAAACCTAGGCAAAATTTTAGCAAAATCTATTTACTACATACATTTTCTTATAAAAGTGGATAGCCTGGGTTACCCGTGGATGCAGCCCCTGAAACTCCTACAAAAAATGCTGGATCTGCCGGGGTTGGAAAAGAAGTCTGAGATTTGTTATTTACCAGTCTGTACTCAATCATTTATTAATACAAAACAAGTCCTTGATGAAAACAAAGGAACCCCTAGCAATGCCTTAAAAATTATAAATAAAATCACTCCAAGCATATGAAACACGTGGCATGAAAATGGCGGGAAATTTTCGCGCCTTTTTTGTGGAACGCACGCGTACGCGCACGTAGACGTGATCGGATGTTCGTCGGAAGAGAACTTCTCTAGTTTCTCTCAAGTTTGGTTACTTCGACTTCTTTCCTTTATTCTTCCATAACCTAAAGTTTTCAATACATTACCTTTATGTCTTTATTGAAGGACGTTTTACTAAAGGTAAGATAAAATTTGCTTGGTTGTCTTAGTTCAAGATGAAGACTAAGAAATATTCCATACTGCGAGTTCGAGAACACGTCTTCAAGAACGGCTTTTGGTACGCTCACATGAAGAGAAAAAACGTTACCAGAACCTCGTGGATAAGTATTTACTTTTTGAGTGGATAATTTGGTTTAAAGGCAATACCTTGTTCATTYTTTTTCTCTTTTCGGTGTAAGGGATAACTAACGAAATACTTTGGGGAAGGGATCAATTATTATACGACTATAAACGCAAAAGATMTGTTAAAGAATTACGCTAGAGTCTTTGGTAAACACGCCATAGCTTTTATTTTACAAAAATTCAGTGTTGAAGTTTGCTGTGTTGTTGCACATATGGCACCCTCTTGACCGCCTTATGTACATGTGTCAATTATTTCAAACACGGCCATTTACAAGCCTTAAAAACGATTCATATACATTGTACAGCATAAGTAGAAACGACCTTATAATAACAATGGAACGATGGGGAAGTSGAACATGGAGAAGTACCATTAGAAATTCAAAGAGTTCTACGAGTTTTATTTTATTTTGAAGCGAACAAAAATTTTCCTAACAAACTTTAAACTTTTATTCCCTTTATAAGCTTATATTCACTGAGAGGATTTTTTTCTTTTAATTTTTCGTTTCTCTTTACATTTCCCTTTGCATTTCTAATGGTTCTTGACTTGATGTATGTGTATAAAGCATTGTATGCTTGCGTTTAAATTTAACTCGAATCTATGTCGTCATTTTTTCCAACAAAAAATTAAATTCTTTTCTAATTTATTAATACAAATTAACATCGGAGTCGTGAATATTCATATCGCTAGTAAGGGTGTTTTTGTGCAGTGTTCAGTTTCTAGCATCAATGTTCCCCTGTAGCCAGTGAATAAARATTATTTCTTTTTAACTTTGGAGAGATACAATTGAGTACTCCAATATCCACACCATTCTCAAAATCATATATCTTGTTTGGAATCAAATATGCCAACCCGCTATACATGGTTGGAGACGCTGAGCTGTTCTTCATCTGGATCAGACAGTGTACACGGAGTTTCATTAGAAAATCACTTCGTACAACGTAGCTTTCTTGTCACCAGAGCCAGTAACAATGTACTTGTCATCTCCAGAAATATCACAGCTTAGGACTGAAGATGATTCTTTTGACTGTAAATTAAACAAAACTCACTATAAGTGCTCTGTCAACATGGTTTCGTATTTGAAGGGGTGGAAGTATGTCCTGTTATATTGAAGTAAAACACATAACGGAAGTTGCAAATAGAGTGAGAGAAAAACAGCAGTAAAATTCAAGAAGCATTATTTTTGCACTCCAATCATTAACAAAAAGCATTAACAAGAAAATATGTGAAAAAAGTGGCAAAAGAAGGAAAAGAATAAGCCACGAGTTATCATTGCAAGTGCATGATGTATCTCATATATTTAAGAAACTATTTTAGAGATCCTCTTTGCAACATACCTGGAAGATGCTGGCTCCATATGGTGTTCTCCATGCATTTAACAAGTTATCTTTACCAGTTGTTACAAACCATTTTCCAGAATAGGCAAACTTCAAAGATAATACACAACTTTCATGTAGATGTAGTAGATATTTATCAGGTTTAGTTTGGTGAAGAACTTCTACATTGCTATTCTCCATCCTGAATAACAAAAACATAAAAGAATTATATGAGATATTTGTGTTAGAACTTAATTAATTATCATCCACATTGATCTCTTATTAAATGGCAGAAGAAGGCAAAATATTTCAAGCGAATCTTGATCTAGGAGTTTGATATTATCAATTTTACAATCTCAGACATCAAGATTTTCATATTTTGAAAGAAAAATCTGGTGGTAATAGGTAACTTCACAGGCACCCAGTAAATCTCCCTTAGATCTGTTCCTAATCTTGGATTCATGCATCTTTTTAAATCAAGCTTTGTCACTTATTTCAGAGCTAAAATATTATGGCTGGTTGTGATGATGGGCTAAGTTGGTTTTTAGTTTGATGATACATGTATCTTTTTTCTGACTCAACGCTTCTGTTCAAAATGACCAGCAAGGCAAAGAATTGAMCAGACAARTTCYAATYCTAGCCAGAMWTTGGGTGATGATTRGCCATTATTYATTAGCYCTGATATCTTGATATTGCAAATAGCATGTAAAATGAGCCAATTAGGGTCATTATTAAAAACTTTCTTGCTTTTCTTACCCTACAGCTAGCCAGTCTCCAGATGGACAATAGCCTAATGAGAATATCTGAGAACTGAAATCATGTTGCTGTAGTTGTCGACCTTCTCTCAGATCCCATGAYCTTACAGTATTATCCAAACCACCTGAAAAACAAAGGTTAGCAATTCAATTTCCTTGTAAGAATTGACATTATTATTTGCTATAAATATTATTATTAGTGAAGTTAGTTTTCTTTAAGCCTGTCAGTTAGTGTCAATCCAGCCATTATAGAGAGAGGGTGTAGGGGTATATCAGACACTATTGACAACTGTGAAGGTTTTAGAGTCAAATACTGGTCATTTTACAAAACTGCCTTTTCGGACAAGTCATTTTATTYGACTAACTCATTAAACAGAAAGGGAACATACCTGTCCATAGTTTTGTTCCATCTGGTGAAATATCGATACAACTAGCACCATCTGTATGTCCTTGAAATTGTCTAACTAAGGTTTGGTTATGAAGATCCCACACTGCAATATTACCATCACTACAGCAGCTAAAGCAAACTTTTGAATCTGGACTTAAAGCCAGGGCATAGCAAGCAGGAGCATTTGACGTTAACTCGGCTTTTATTCTTGGTTGTGAAGTAAGGTCCCAAATTGTAAGTGTACTRGCTTCACCACCAACAATAAGAGTTCGGCCATCAGGCAAAAGACGACAAGAACGAATATAATTATCACGCTGAAAAAAATATTAAAAAACTGGTTATTGCAACTATGCCGAGTCTTAGGTATCTTTAAATATAAATAATGGCAAGGAATTTCAAAATCATTTAAAAAAYGCTTAATAATTAAGGACTGTTACTGATCCTATTAAAAACCAAAACAAACAACTAAATATCACTTACCAAGCAATCTAAAGTTGAAATAAGGTTTTTCCCACTAGCTTGACTAATATCCCATACTTTGACACAGCCCTGTAATAAAATAAACAGAAATTAATCATGCATTATTTCTAATGATGTCAATCAATATTTAAATAACTCATTATACCTAATAGCTATAGTGAGAAGGGGCATAACAAATTTAATCTTTTTTGACAGTGCTAAAAAAATTATGTAAAAATAAATTTATGGAGTTGAGGAAAAAACGTAACAATCTGCAAGCCAAAATCAATCTCATCTTATACGGCTAATATCTGCAATATCTGTTTATGATTGAGTTTGAAACACCAATGGTGCATAAGTATACAATCACACTGAAAGTACTAAAAGTATTTAAAAAAACTAAACTAACCTTACCACCCGTGTATACATGTCTTGTGGGATTACTTATTGTAACGGCACACACAACTTCTCCATGGTTTAACTGATTTATTTGTCTAGCATGTCGGGGAATATTTGATCCTATCAGTGCATCAGGTGGGAATGGGACAGGCTGCATTTGGCCGTCGCCAATAACATGAAAAGAATAAGCAGATTTTCCACCAGGTGGGGCACCAGAGCTCAATGGTGATGCACCAAGTCGAGAATGAGCTGATGGGTCATAGCCAACCTGAAATATTTGAAATAAAACAAACATAAATTAATATAACAAGTAAATAACATCAGCTTTGAAGCACTTCAGGTAATTTTACTTATCATAGATTCAATTATCTATACAATACATTAAAATACAATCACTAAATAGTTATTGTAGATTCAATTATCTATACAATAATATAATCACTTGATGAAATAAAAAATATTTCTCTTCAATTATCTATACAATGCAATTCAAAATATTATACAGTCACTTAGTTARTGTAGTTATTTTAGATTCAATTATMTATACAATAATACATAATCACTTGAGATAAAAATAATTTCTCTTCTCTGCAGTAAAATTATAGCAAAGACCAAAACTTGTTTTAAGTACTTACCAAAGGTGCTCTTCCATAACCTGGCATACTACTTGACATAAGCCTGAAAGAATTAAGAAGATATTGATAAATTACCRTTCATAGAATTTCCTTATCACTTACAAGATACTGTGCTACATATAGATCATAGCATGATTATAAGGRAAAAAATATAAGAAAAAATGTATATAGATTTGTTGTCCTCTTAAATGCCCAAAATCTTCAATCCTATAGCTTGCAGCATGAAACAGACTTAAAGTTGGCAGAAATATAGGCAATGCTGTTTTTCTTAAAATACGAACATTTCAAAACTGAATAGTCCCTTTCACAGTTCCCTGAGCCATCTTGAAAGGAAGCTGTGCCTTTGCATCGAAGCTGTGCCTTTGCATCGAAGCTGTGCCTTTGCATCGAAGCAAGACGAATGGTGAACTTTCAATAATAGATACCTTTTTTAACACCTTGGACAACTATTCACATGTCTCTATCATTGCAAGCTCAACATCCATCTAGCTTTGATGCAAAGGCACGGTTATGTGCATGTTGTTAGATATTCAACCATGGTTTTTGAATAATATTTTAAAATGTGAAGTCACTGTGAAGCAAAAATACTTACCCTGACATGCTGTGAGGGTTGCTAAAGGGATAACCTGGTCCTCCGCCGGGTACAGAGATTGGAGTACGTATTGCTTGAGCTGCATCACAATAAAATTAAAATTAAAATAAATTAGAAAACACACTTAATAAAGAATCAATCGGACACCTAAAATGCCAAAATACAGGCAAGCAAGCTTAACATCTGAGACCAAAATGTGCATGTGATTGATAAGACATGTATGCACATTTCAGGCTTTCAATTTGATATTCACATTACAGCCATTCTTAATCACACATGCCCTCTAGCAACTGTTTCTGTCGTGACGAAAAAGCTTTTGGTGGACATCAAGGCGTTTCCATGAAATTCAATAGGYACGTGCCCTTATAGCTTTGTGCTTTCTGACAATGTTATGGAAACGCCTTGTAATTGACGCCCACCAAAACCTTCTTTGTTGCRACAGAAACAATCGCTAGAGGGCRCGTTTGATTGAGAATGCCTGTAAGAGTATTTAATTAAAAAAAGTCACACGTGAATTGCTTCAGGCATAAGGTATAAAAAAGAGGTAAGAGGTTACTGTGGTGGGGTTTTAGTACTAGTTAATGGAAATATAAGTGCACTTCAAGAAAACATAAACAAATTCATTAAAACAGCTTCAATCCTTTGCTGAAAAGTTTAATAATTTATAGGATTAAGAATCCATCTATTGAAATCTATTTTTCATTATAAGTTAAAATATCATCAACAAAATTAAWTAGCTTAGATTGAGCAACTTGGAATGACTCATTTAAACAATACATATAAATTATTCAATGAGATATGCATTCTAGGGGAAAAAAATCTTTGAATTACTAATATTTACATTATAAATAAATTATAATAAATAATAGAACATTACCTATTGGATGTTTAATAGGAGGGGATGTTGATCTTGATGGACTTTTTTTCCCTACGGATCCAGAATCTGATGCTGCTTTGTTTTCTACTGACTGTTTATAAAAATAATGTTGATWAAAATCAATAATTCATCAATGAACAAAACAAAAAGATTCAATCCTACCTTTGTATCTCTTTCTCGATCACGCTCTCTTTCACGATCCCGTTCTCTTTCCCTGTCTCGTTCCCGCTCTCTATCTCTATCTCTGTCTCTATCACGATGTTTGGATGAAGGTGTTGATGACGATGATGATGGCGAGCCTGTCTCTTTTCTGCTTTTCTTTTCATTTAAAGGTGGTGAGTCAGGGCCATTTTCAATTCTATGGGGTGAGGCAGCATCCTATAAGATAATAATATCAATTAAAAATTGTACTCACTATCTAAATTCTCATTGGTCAAGAACCTACAGATAATTCTAGCTATCATCATGTGCCAGTGATTTTTCAGTGGTCAATAGTTATCTGTAGGAAGTTATGTGCCAAAATGAGCCTGCATAGGTATATAGATAATCTATTTGAATAATGTATAATAAAACAATGAATTAGATTTTGATAAGATTCAGAATTATCAATGTCGAGGTTATGGCAGCCATGACAGGAGGCAGGAACAATTGAATCTGATTTTACACAAGGAAGAATTCAGTTTCTCAAGGACTCTTGTTGCGCCTCCTGTCATGGCTGCCAGCACATGATGGTGCAAAAGCCTCTATTGGCTAAACCCATAGGCTGAGGCCAATAAGATTTGCYGAGACATTGATAATTCTGGATCTCATCAAAACCTAATTCATTGACGGTTGTTGAAATGCTAGTCAGCGAATGAGATATCGAACTTCAAAGGTTGCACTCCAATGATAATGGTAGTAAGATTCTTTGTTCAATTTGTATTTATATGTCTTGTCACATGTGCAACTGTTAAACACAGAAATTATAATCTTGGGAAAGTCATGGTCTGAATGGTTTGACATTGCACCAAGATAAATTAGGATTATATACTATTTATTCAGCTGTGACTTCTCAGAATCCTATCTCTTGAGCTATTCAAATACTAACCTCATTGGAAACATCGACTACTAGATCACCATCACTTTTTTCTCCATCACTTTCCTAGTAAAATACATATTAACATTAGTAATCAACAAATATTACAAGTTATCCCTTAAAGGGCTGACAAAAACTGTCAGTTTTCTAAATATCATATTGCTCTATTTACTTTAGACAATGAATGAGATGCCTGTCCCCCTTACTGAGAGGGTAGTTGGAATTTGATTTTTTGACATTTCAGCTGTCATCTTGGAWCAAAATGAATTATAGAGTGTCCAGGAGGTAATCAAAACAAGGATGACAGATTATTTATAGATTTTCATGTGTTTGTCTTTCTCTTATGGGTAAAGGTGATAAATTTGCCGTCTTTGGTTGTAATAATGACAGGCTTATATATATAAAAAAATAAATCAAGCGTCCCATTAGCTTTATTTTTGGCCCCTGGTTGCCCCATAATGCCTTGCAATCCAAGATAGCTGCTGTATTGTCAATGTATTCTATTTGGCTGTCAGGCTTTCCCTGGAAGATTGGTCTTGAATAGTATGGAATGTTTGGAATGGGAGCAGCATCCCAAACCTTGTGATGTTCATAAGAATGAAGGGAAAAAATYCTTACCCCAGAATCTTTTTCATCTCTTTTTCTTTTACTAATTTTAGTTCCTAATTAGAATAGTAAATTGATGATTAGATGTATGTAACAGATAACGAGGCAAGTTTCCTACTAAGATTTATCAATTAGTATCATAATATGAATGAGAGGTCTTGAGCAAATCACAGTACTTTGTAATAAGTATATCAGCAATATCAAATGCAATATGAGTTTGAAGTATTTACTTGGTTTCACACCATAACCATGCACTTACCATTCATATGTCTTTCACTGTGACGGTGGTCACGGTCACGATCTCGGTCACGGTCTCGATCTCGATCACGTTCACCATCATCGCTGCCATGGGATGACAAGTCTGAGGGTCGACTGTACATTTTTTCTTGGCGAGACAAAGGTGACAGAGAGTTCTAATTCAAAGAGCAAAGCAAAACAATTATCAGATTTTTGAAACATTTAATAACTTTCCAACATAYATTAAAGGATCGATTCAGAATGATGGTAGAATGGTTAGAAACCCAGCAAAAATAAATCAATACTAAAATTTTACTAGTTTCAATGAAATGCTATCATAATGAATATCAATTTCCCAATAACTGACTGCATTCCACTACTAAATATAAGAATTTGATTTTAAAAGAAATTAGTTATAGTGTTCTGCAATTTATTGCCATTGCCCAGCCTCCAAATGTGTAAGACCTATTGTAAGAATATTGGTGTTTTCATAGATGTTGTATACTATGTCTGATACAAAAAAAAAGAACCTGTGTCTGATGTCTGATCAATCTTCCTTGTCACTTACCATTGCTTTTGTTGACAGACCAATAAAATAGGATAAAAGGAAACATAAGAAAAAAAAAGAGAAAAATAGATTAGAAAAGCTGTTTGCATTAAGACTTTGTCCAACCACTACCAACATACCTTGCTTAGTCTTTGTTTTGTAAGTTAATAATTTTTTTAAAAATAAACAAAAATTTGCAAAGCTTAAGGTAGTGGTACTAAAATAATACTTTATCATGTTAACAGTATCTCAGTATCAATCTTGTGTTTTTTTGTTAGTTTTCTCTTATAACAAGGTAGTCTGTCAGTAAGGATGGTGGATTTGCGACAAGACTCACTATTTAGTGATTGCATCCACCTGAAGTATGAAGAAAATGATCCTATAAATGAATTTCATAAAACTGTGTAAATTTTAGGGAGACACTATTCCTCAAGTTACTTTAACATTAAAACAAAAAATCTTCATACAAAATATAAATATATTAATACATTCAGGTGCCTACTCATAAYATGTGCCAGGCATTTGTCATTTTCTTTTAAGTAATACATGTAATAATGTGGTATAACTTGAGGAACATTTTCCCTCTAGCTAGAGTTCCTTTTTTGTTTTCCTTTTGTAGTTGTTTGGAATAGCCTGTCATAACATTGTTCTTTAAAATACAATAAACACAGTCTGTCCTAGGAAAATATGTATTTCCAAATTCTAGCTATTGGTATATACCACATCTCTATCGCCATGTTCGGAATGAATTTACAATAGAAGCCATTCAAACAAAACCCAAATATATGTACAGCATTAATGTATTTGCATATTTTATGCCCCAATATTTCCCCCATCTTTGCACTATTATATTTGGTGAAATCTTCACATTCATTCAACAACTAACATTATCCAAGCATAAAAGTATGCCAATAATTAAAACTGATCATACATTTGGGATGCTAGCTGTAAATTTAGATTTTAAAATACCTTTTTCATCCTTGATTGGAAGATGAGGGGGCTGACTAGATAATCCAAGTAGCCCGGATCCTGCACCAGGGGGGAGTTGAGGGGGTAGTGCACCAGGGTGTGGCAATGGAATAGTAGGGGCATGTGCATGGAGACCTTGCATTCCAGGTTGATGAAGTTGCTGCTGCTGTAGACATGAAAATATTCATAACTTAATACGGGATCAATTACGAGAGGTTTCAGTTTCAACATAATTGTGTACAGATAGGTTTTCTGTCTCCATCAAATTTTAACCTTTAAACTTAGATAGGATTTCAACCCTAGCTAAATCTAATTTACATGGTCATGATAAAAGGCTAGTATAAATTTGGACTACTTGACCTAGAGGTTAAAATCTATCAATCCATTGTTGTAAGTTTTTTCTAATCTTTTTTCCAGACACATGACTACAGCATTAGCTGTCATCAACTGCAATCAAAGATTAAATGTCATGGACAAAAAACAGTGAGTCACTCTCAGTTAAATGAAACCAGATTAGAATGACTCTGTAAATCACAGACTTTAGTCTCCAAAAGGTTTCAATTTCATGTCTGAGTGTTGCACAGATTATTTCATTGRTTAAAGCAGCATTATTAGCAATCTTTTTTACACAACAATTAGTTCCCTTTCATGGTGGGTATCAGAAACTTTATATCTCAGCAGTTTGCTTTTCAAATGAGGGTTAAATAGCAACATAACTAGTCGCCAGCTCAACTTACTAAATCTAAACACTTAAACCTCTGAGATGTTGAAATGATCGGCAGAAACTTTTGGCAGGTATTTGAAAACAGACTCAGAGATTAGAGGGAAAGAAAAGCAAATAACATGATAAAATTGATAACTGATTCCAGATATTGATTAGCCACAAAAGTGCATACACACAATGCATAACTGAATATTCAAGAATGTGAAAATTTACAACAAGTGTAATTAATCTTTTTTCGTTAAAGACATAAAAGTTTCATTGCATTTGATCACAATTGGTAGGCTTACACTTAGTGTTAATGCCTCTRTTTTTTAGCAGCATACATACTATTCTTAATGTACTATTTTAAATGGAACAAGTTTATTTCAGACTACTAGCATTCATTGCATTCCTAAATATAGCTTGAGCCATAGATCACTGAATTAGAACAGGCATGCACTTATTATCTCTRAAAGTGAGTCTATATCTGTCAACAAATGTAAGGCAATCCATTCAGGTTATCACAACAACTAAGGTGGTCTTATACTTGTCTATTGATGAACATTCTTTTGAACATCTTGAATCTTTTGACCTTATCAATCTCTCTCATGAAAGAAGGTAGCCTACAGCTTTAATTTCCTGTTGCTTGTTATGGTCATGTTATGGTCATGTTCACTGTTTTATTTTCAATTTGATACAAATATTCTATTTTAGGGATTAGAAGTCTCTAGATCAACAGATTTTATGATTTCAAATTTTTCTTCCAACTGCTAAAGTCTATTTATGTCATAGTTGAAAATAGACTCATTTTCAYTTCTTGCATAAAATATAGAAAGGAAAACAGTGATATGAAAAAAAGAATAAGAAACTAGAGTAACTACCCTGAATCGTGCTGTTTAAAACATTAAGCAAGATTAACTTATCACTCTTTATCACAGAAGACACWTATCCTTGTTAATGTAATTCACATATGCTAGCTAGGTTAGGATTCCTTTGAGGGAAAATCACATGATTTTCTGATCAACCTAATACGTTATGGATGCATGAATTTTAAGTTATTATGCTCAAAATCAAACAACTGTATACCTGAACAAAARCAAACTAAACTTTAATGTAAACTAAACTAAACTGTTTATATAATAGTAACATATTTTACCATAAAATTGAAAGAAATACAAAAATTTTGGGGGARGGTAGGGGTAGTTACTAGCCAAAACTAAATATGCTGTTAAAGAAAATATCAATCAGCAATTTGTAATCAAATACATAAGAAGATAAAACAACATCAAATATTATTGTTCAGTGATAAGCATATAGGAACCAATTTTTTTTTTAAATCTTGAGGCTTTGAAGATTTTTTATTTAGTGATAAAACCTAATGAGAAAAGGAAGTTCAAAAAATGTGAGAGTATTTACTCATGTTATTTATTTCTATAAAATGATTATAGTTACAAGTTGCCTGTCTTATTCTACTTATATTTTCTAGTCATACAATGTTTTCGGCAAATAAACATCTGCTTTCCTGTTTTCTGATTGGCTGTATTTTCAATAGTGTGAGTTAATATATGTTGWTTTAATTTTTTTAAGTGATGTCTTGTATTTAATCTACAATTCATATATTTAGCAATTAGTCCTCTYRCCCTCATGGACTATTAGTCAATAGCCCACGTGGCTGAAGAAGGAATGGGCTATTGACTCATAGGCCATGAGGGCGAGAGGACTAATTGTTTTACTCAAATTCAACTAGTCAGTCAAATATTTAGATGCAAACAAGTCTTACATTAAAGTAAATTTAATGTTTTGGTTTTCAAAGCCTGCATTTTTTGCTACTAGTAGGCTATAACTAATAGCCTAGTAGTAGCTCATCCAATCAGAACACAGCATTGATRATAGACCACCAGTTGGATTTGACTAATGTATATGACCCTAACCCAAAATTATCCTGAAATCACATCAGAGTAATAAACATAGAAATGATAAATAATAGCAAAATATTTATATAATGCTATATTTTAGAGAAATCCTTTGTGAAGACAGTGATTTAATGAATTCCGTCTTTTTTTAGGAATTAAACAAAATATTAAACACAAATAAAGTACTTGAAATTCATTTTTTCAAAGTATAAATCAAGGCAAATAAATACTTTAATTAAGAAGTCTTTATTTGTTTGTAGATGATAAATGCTAATAATTTTCTGTCAAAATACTTATTAATTCAAATGATTTTCAATATTCCTCAATTGAGAAAAACAAACAAAARATTAAATTTTTACTTTCCCAATTGAATGAGTATATGAAAAGCTAACRAAGTAAACTTAGACATTGGCAAGATAAATTGTAAGGATCTAGAAGTAATTGAGGATGCCACTCATAACAAAGTAAATGAAACACTAAAAACTTACTCCAATAATAGCATTCAATTCTGACATGGTAACTTGCTTAGCTCTTTCTACTGCAGCTGCCACTTGTTGTTGATGCTGAAGGGATAAAATAATTATAAGTGAGTATGGGTAAGGYCATCAAATGTTGTCAAACTTAAGATTCATGATAATAAATGCCTTGAAGAATGACATCTTTGTAAGTATTAATGGTGATTAACCATCAACAAATGAGTATCCTTTTATCATCTTAATGTTACAGGATCTACTTTTACTCTTGTGTTGAGATTAGTTTGGGCCTCCTTTCATCTTTTATCGGATTCATATTATATTTATGAATTCAGACACTTTGGAGCTGCGAAATAGGTGCATAGTATCTTGATCTTTGAACAATGTCATATATATGTATGTACACCTAAAAGATAAAATTCAAAACCTACTTACATCTTGAGATAAGAAAGGGATTATCTGAGCACATATAGCATTTAGTCTTTTGGCTATCTCAGTCTGAAAGGATAAAAACAGTGCATTAATTACTACTTGAATCAACAAYGTAATACAAAATAAAGCTAATATGTGACATCTTAAAATTTCAAGCAAATTACACACAGAAAAAATAAATAAGTAGGATAGACACCAAGTTGAATTCACTTGATTGCTTTAAAGTGGGCAAGAAAAAGTGAAGTAGACCATTTGTCAAAATTGAAAAAAAAAAGTTGAATAATTCATGTCCTTTYTTGAGGAGTAAGATCTCAAAACCTCATCTGAAATATCAGTTGCTCCCCACTACCAAATAAATATACACCTTATATAAATCCCACGTTCTTTAGACAAAGGACTAATGCAATAGACTTTACAAGTAAAGACTTTCTTGTTCTAGTTCTAATAACAACTTTTTGAGAATCACATTCAAATCATATTGAGAGATTTTACAATTATATATTCTATGCATTCAGTAAGAGATAAAAAAGACTTGGTCAGCGTAAAAATCTTGGTTTAAACAATAATCCAATAATCTTTATCACATTGTGAAATCAAACAGATGAAAATAATATGAAAATTTTCACTGATTTCAGTTACAAAAAGCTAAAAATGCTTTATTTAATAAACAATGACTGTTTTGGTTGCTTTCAAAATAAAGATTTCTTGAGGAAATTGAGAATAAATTTTTTCCTTTCTTAAAAATATATAAGAAAAATGAATTTCTAAAGTACAAGTTCAATTGTGTTTCATTTTCAAGCAAAGAAGAACCAGACTATTGATATAATTATAATTTTAAGACCATTGAAATCCACCTTGTGCATAATTTAATCCTACAAGAAAATCAAGTGATTAAAAGGAATTTGGCCGCTTAACAATTAAAGACTTTGTGGTTCCTTATTCTATTAACCTCTGCCGCAAAAAAATGGCTGGCTTATGATTATCTCAATTCTAAAGGCGACAGCTGGCCTTGCTAGATATCATGTTCACTTTCCATATTGGCAACCAAACTCTTTTACACTTTCAGCGACCATAAAAACACGGTCTTTAATACTGGCTAAGTGACTAATAGAAATCTTTACACAGATGTATTAACATTGGGRCAAATAGTGAAAGTCGATTTCTGTTTCTCTTTCATTAAGAAACTCACATAAAAATTTATTTACATTCACTAAACCATTTAATGGGCCACACAGTCATACAATTATTATAAAGTCTGACATTAAATAACCCTGGAATAACGTTTTGTGTACCGTGGGTATTAATCTAGGATGCTAATCCACCGCAAAAGTCTGCACTGGTTAGACCTGACCACTCACATYAGTAAGAGAAAAATAACTTGCATGGCGTGGGCACAATACGGRATGCAAATTTGATTTAGTGGAACATACTCGAGGCTGTTTTTATTAACATTCAYGTGCATCAGTGAAGTTTTCATATTWAAAAAATTACCTAGACATTTCCGCGGTTTGTTGGTCGCCAATATTACACAAGGCTAAACAATTTACCGCATCCTGTTGTGATGCTACCTTCAAGATCATTTCTACGCCAATACTCAATCCCACAAAAATGTTTGGGTTAACCACRAAAGAAAGCCAGGTTTCCATTTCGATCGGTTGGATGGTTTGACACGATCCATTAGTCACGACGGACAATAAGAAATGCTCCACTGGTTAGAAGTAATCAAAGCAATTATTCGAAACGTGTAGCCCCTTTTCCGAGCATGAATATTCGTGTGGCTCGAGATATTAGGATTCTAACCATAGTTAATATTAGTTAACTATGTTCTAACTTCGAGTTACTTGTAAGAAGATACTCGCATAAAGGTCAGGGCGGAAACACAAATAGTACTCGATAATCCGGCTCTTCTCGAGCGACCACTATAAACCCTTATCACTCGCCACCTCGAAGATGCATTTAATTATCGCTCCAGCTTAGGCGGATGTGATGACAGCCTAATTCCACTCAAAAAAAACAGACATGGAAGACTGCCGTATCGTGGATCCACTTAGGAATTCGTGTCTAATCTTAACCATCAGGTACCAAAAAAGGATTATTTGATTAGATAGCTCTTGGTGGAAAAGTGGAAGAGAAAACTGCAAAGTCGACAGGTGATATCCAGCTTGAGCTATTATGTAAACACATTTATACGGGACTACAAATTAAGGACAAACTTATTTGACATATTTCGAAGGGTTCTGAAACCAAAAGAGACTCACGCATCCATAATCACCTGACCTATTGTCTTCAATTTACAATTAATTCTCAGCTTGCTATTCTTATTGATATTGGCATTTCAGGAAACTGACTTGTTTGAACTTTCTAAGACTCAAGTAGCTTTCGATTTGCATTTCGGAAAAGAAAAATGTAAACTATTAAAACTTGACATCTTTTAGTTTGTCTAAGGTGTAATGTAAGACCTTTGTTGAATTTCTGACGCCAAAAACTTAATCCCTACTCAATTGAGGGTAGATCGAAAAGATTTTAGACGACAGAAAGTTTTACCACCTATTTCCGCTGGCTACTGTCGGCGTGTAAATGTTGGGTTGTTAGGTCATTTCACGTTACCAGAACCATTTCAACGCTTACTGTATCGGTAATAGACTCCGACAAGAACATAGACCAACAGATTTCGAGAGGAAATTAACCATGGGATCAGTACACTCTTCATTCGTCGCTCACGTATAAGCTTACGTACCTGCTTGTGCATTTCAACATTAAGGCCATATGACATCTCGTAGTACTGTAGAGAAAAAAATGGTAATATATTTGTGGTGTGAGGTCGGGCTTATTTAGTGCGAGTGCGGTCGGAAGAGATACGATACGAGCGTTTTCACTCATCAAATCGATATATGAGAAGATAGGAAAAAGCGTAGAGGCCATCTGTCCATTTGGAACACAATGACTCCCAGATCTTGCCGATTTCAAGGATTAACAGCATTAAACATCAAGCATAATTTTTCCCATGAATACAGATCAACTATCAATTGCAAATTAATTACAGCGGGCCTACTCCATTATTACACAATTAAAAGGAAGGCCTTAGGCAAAGGTAGAAAACCTATTAACCCAATTCAGTCGTTATCTGGTGGACAAACGGATGGTTGGAATTCAAATCGCGGCCCCACAAAACCCTTCTAACGTCATAGCAAAGTAAACATCACATAGGCTTGACTGCCTCAATAGCTTTTGCTTACTAAATATCACAAGTATTTCTAAGACAAGCTCGTATTTCCTTGAACACACATTAACGCTACAACAGCAAAAGAACGCGCGCACATCAGACCGACAGTAAGGAACATTCGAGAGGGGAGTACATTCGAATCACTCACGAAAATAAGATAACTATTTACCATAACATAGTGGCGTTGCATTTCGGTCTTCTCGCCAGCTAACTTTTCRCATTCTAGTTTCAAGCTGAAAAGCAAAAACACAGTACTATGTAAATATTGTGTTGAAAGCCCACGATAAGATTAACTTTACATGACATAATGGCTGTGTATGCATCCCAAATAAATTTAAATTAGGCACACAAGAGAAGCCCTTATAGAGTCTCCTTCAAGACAAATCCATTCGACTAATCCATTTCTTAGAACTGGTAAGAAGCACTACTAAATAGATGTGATGTTTTTGGTTCAGTTAATTCATGCAGAGAGGCTCAATCAACAAAGCACTCGCACAAACGAATGCAAGGCACCGTACGTACCTGTGATACTGCGCTTGAAGAAAATTGAACTCTTCCTTTATACGATCGCATGAATCTGCCACTGTAAACTTGAAGGGTTGCCCAGAGGGCTGATGGGGCGTCTAGGTAGGAAGGAAAAAAAGTAAGCCATCCACTTTGCCTTCAACTCCTTGCCTAGGTGTCACATTACGAGAAACTCTGCTTTTGAATAACCACGATTTCAACACGAATATTTCACTTACTGCATGTCGACTTTGATACATGCTGCCCAATGAATCCAAGGACCACTACACGAAAGTGAAGAGCAAATGAGAGTTTAACTAAGCTGAAATTTCTCAGGGGCCCCTTAAGAGTTGTTTAGGGGCACAGTAGAAGTACTCAAGCATTTCACCACTGACTAACCGTCGATGTTCACGGGTCGTGTTCGGGTACCAAGAGTACCTTTGAACAACTGAATCCAAACAAATTCCCACTTTGACGAACGAAACGGTGTTTCCCCCTGTCGTGATCCTGTTTCACAAGCCTTTCCAGTGCTTCGCTTCAAGTTATCGAACTCCTTCCTTAGCATGAACTCCACGGCGAGTCTTGAACAAATATCAACCTTGAAATCGACACAGCAAAATGACACGGCAAACGCGGCACGCGGTCACCAACTTGTAACACCATAACACCCTGGGGGAACACCATATATGGCAAGTGTTTAATCTATATTTATTGCCAATCTAGTCAAAACCAATCACCAATGACGCCAAAAGGGAAAATATCCCACGTGGGTTTGAGTCATCTTGTGGGGTAAACAAGGTCCAATCATCATGGAGAGTGTGTGAAAAAACACCCGAGACACCTGCATTCTTGTCGCCTTAATAAGATCAAGAGTGTCATACAGACTTTAACGAGCTGCTTGAGATGTCAATCAAAGTAACGTGGTACAGTGTTGACAAAGCCAAGGTCCTCCCACCTCTTTCTTCGAACCAACGCTTTGTAAATTGGTTTCCAATATCATAAACCAAACAATAGAAAACGACAAATTGCTCAACGTTGCCCAATCAAACGCGGGCTGATCGACCACATTATCTAAGTATTTAAACCGACTGTAATGTTCGTGGTCAGAGTGGTTGTATTTCAGAATGTTTTCACGGCTTTTTGAATGCGCCGTGAAGCATGAAAGGATTAATGTTTTGGCCATCCTTTTATCCTCACTCGAGCGCAACCGCTGCGTTTTCATCAACGCTGTCTCCCAATGTGTTATTCAACTCAATATTTACCTTCCGCTTCAAGGCGTTAGCATTCATCTACAAAGAAAATTACTAGCACAATTGGAATTTCTAATGAATGTGTACCCGATCGAACGCTTYATAAAATATTTGATTTTGTTATCAACAAATTGAATGTGGAAGAAAGCGGATCTCTAATCTYACTAGATCACTAGATTACTCCCGGCGGGCATTTACAAATATATACAGTCTTGGCGCCTTACTGTCGCTTTGCCGACACATTGATTTCTATAGATAAAAGCTTAATTAACACAATAATCGGGATCTGAGTGTTGCTAATTAGTGTCGGTGTAATTACGTAAATTATAGACTGTAATCGAGGTAATGACTTAGGAATTTCTAATGAAAAAAATGGCGGCCATTCTTRTCACGTGGGCTATTTGCAAGCAAAAACAACCAAGGGTCAAGAAGTGGTTGAAGGTGATTGGATGGTTTGCCTCATGATGACTGAAATCCAAAATTCAGGTAATATAGACAAGACGACGAGATAACAATGAAGCAATTTAGCTACARGACTTGATGTTTATCAAGCTGACACGTGCTACGAGTCTATATGCTAAAGCTATTGAATTCCTCCTAAGATGACTTCTTAAAACAGAGCGATCAGGAAACAAACAGGGCCCAAAACGCAATTAGATTTGACAGCATCAAACAAAGCCATTTATGTATTTCAAATATTCATCTGTATTTGTTTGGTTTTGTGTAGTTCAAAGACTAGAATTTTAATACAGCCACAAGAGTATTTTTAAGTCGTTTGCTTTAGCCATTGTGTAAATCTACACTCTTGATCCACTCCTAGTTTTAATGTAAAATTAAGATTTCGTCTTGTTGACACACCTTGTTTTTTCGAGACACTAGTACTCGCAGTAGCCTGCTTAAGATAAGTCAAGCAACCATCAAACCTATTGAATTACAGACTCACAAAGCCGACGTACTTTGGAGTTTTCATCGGTGACTCAATTTCTTTTATCGCATTTRCATTGACTAATATGACTCTTTTCCTGCGCCGGTCACCTTTCTCTTTTGGTTTACATGTTTTCGCTATAATTTCGCGTTTGTTGACACAATACGTGTTCTCGCTTTAAAATGGTTTGTTCGATTTCACTTATCGAAGTACCGACGAGATTATTTTCTTTTCGCGGTTTGGATTTGCAAATGAAGACTGATTAACGACAAAGTGCAAAATTTGAGAAGCAGATGGTATGATTCTAGCACAATTGATTAAAATCATTGTGTAGTCGTGAACCGAGTCCATGGGTAACCACGATATCGTTAAAAAGTCATACTCCTGCGACCATACACGATGCGCGCGCTCCCGCAACGAACTCCGCCAACTCTCATCCCTCAGAAACAAAAACTCAATAATGTCCCGCCTTGACGCGTTGAGATTCTCAAAACCAAGTTCTCTAAAAGCGGGCTCCCTTACTGAAGCGCACTGACCGCAACAAAACAAACCATTACTGACGATTTTTTGAAAGTATTTGAGAAAGCTGGTCTTCAAATATTGAAATTAGACAACGTTGTGACAATGAACCGCAGCTCATACCGCCAACGCGCGGTGCACCCGGAGTGCGCCATTGAATTGAAAGAAAAGGACAAATTAATGGATGTACAGCGGTTGTTTTGTTTTAGAGCCTGTTCGAAACGAAAACCACAGACCACAACAGATCTATCATCACCGAATGGGGTCAGTGAAGCAGAACATGTTTATCTTGCGGTAGCATGAATTATTCAAACTTGATAAAATGAAAATGTTCGAAAAACACAGCTGCTCTGGAGTGGTCTTTCTGTTGATAGTGTAGATAATGAATGAACCCTTTCCAATAGACTTCGCTTTAAGCACTGGTTCTAAGATATCCTCTTCAAAGAGGAAAACAAGCGCTCAACTTTTCTCAGTATATTGCGCAGCCAACAGTACATCAATCTTTTTTTCTCGCGTAAGCTCGTGTGAAACACTAATAATAATTTATTTYGCTGGTGCACAATCAAACTATACATACACCACAACGGCTATTCATTTGTTAATGCATACTCTTTTAATATAGCAATTTCATAGATCAATTCGATCGTTTCTTTTCTCACGGGCCACTGCTGCCCAATTTAAATGAAAGGAAAACAAAAGAAAAACAAAAAAGTTCATTTCTCATAAAAGATTATCTTCAATATATAAGATTGCGCATCAAAGGTCTATAATACCAATCCTATAATACAATAAGTGCTTTTTGTCTTCTAACAAGATTCACCTAGCTATGGTGRATTTCTCTTAATGGCTCTTGATATAGCAT